CAAGTTAAAGTTTAAGTTACAGTGGCGGCCTCATAGGAGAGTCGTCACACTTATAGACTACCAAGGCACACGTAAGCTTACCAGCTATGATGCCTTTTTTCTGTTTATTTTATTATTCTTATGTTTATTATTGTTACTTTGATTATTTGACTTTGCTATATAGCAGGTTGTAGAAATTCGAACAGTATTAACTGTACTTTGAGATTAGTAAATTAAATTATCAAATCTCTTAGAAAATCTCAAATCGTAGTTTAATTATGAACATTACAAACGATTTAAGTGGTAAACTACAGCTATAAACATCAAACAAACAATTATACATCAGCATTCAGCAAAGCTGTCTACCAAAACTTTCGATGAAAGGAAATATAGTCAAATGGTTGGACAAAGAACTTGTTCCAGTTGCCTTCTATTATTAACTTTAATATTCAACAAAAGCCAGCTTAAGGAGTCCTTTAAGTCCGTTCTTTATAATATTTTATGTCCCCCCACCCAGCCACCCCTCTTTTGCGTCTTTTTCGAAAAAAGAAGAGGATAGTAAATTGATTAACATGTTGACTTGCATCTTAAATATATGACAATGACGTTATCTGAAAAGGATAGACTATAAAGCTATTAACCATACAGTAATCCATCGGTTTACTAGCTCTTTCATAATATCCATTTCAAGCAATTGTTTGAGGGAGATATTCGTCATCCAGATTTTTCGTCTGACTAATCTCTACAAGGATTGATCTAGGAAACAGACAAATAAAGAGCAGCATATCTACCAGTTATGATGCTTATTTTCTTTCCCTTTCTTTATGCTGTGAACCTTTTTTTTTTTTTTTTTCCCTCCGCTGCTTTTAGGTGTGAACTTGGTACACTGTAATTCAGTTTACACTTCGTTGTCTTCCTTTTACAAATTATGTTTAAAACTCGTAAGGATCTTTTCTTCTTCTTTTGTTCTTTAGCCCAAAAAAATAAAAAAACAAAAATAATAGTAACTTCAACTTAGCGTCCATTTAGTTTATGAGTTCAAATTAATAATTTTAATCTGATTTTTAAATTTTAAATTTTTTTAAGAAAAAAACTATAATAAAATTAAAAATCATAATTTAAATTATGCATAACTCTTAAAATAAATACACTCTTAATGTTTTAAAGATAAATGAATAGTCAGAAACAACTTTTACAAGTATTGATAATAAAAAATAAAAATAAAAAATCGTTACAATTACAGCAGGGAGAGAAATAACAAGAAAACTTCGTAGAAAAAGCTACATAATTGAATGTTGATCATTGAAAGATTTTTCTAAGAAGGTAAAAGACAATTTTTTGAAGACTCGCAATGATCCCTGTCGTTGACTGTGGACTAGTCATGGTCTTTACAATCTGTCCTTGTTACTTCGGTTTACTTTTCCAGCCACTTTGTTTATGTTTTGCTTAGTTATTTTTGCAGAAAGAATTTTCAAGTATTCACCACGCAACTATACAAATTGACCGTGAAACTTCCCCCGTCACTTCCTTATTTCCAAGAGTCCAGCTGTATAGACTTCTGTTAGGGCGACTAAGAACATCTTCAATCTATAATTGAGTTGCTAATTGAAAATTTATTTAAATGTAAAAAAACTTTCTAATATATTGTGTTAAATTTGTCAAATTTTATATTTTATGATAAATTTCTCATTAAATATAGTATATAGAAAATTTGACATTTAATTTTAATTGATTGAAATGTTTATTTTTTTGTGTAATCATTACAATTTTTATATTTTTTAATTATTTTAAAAATGAAAATTTACTTTTACAATTTTTAAAGTTTAATGATTATAAGAAAAGATAGATTTAACATTTCAAATAGCATTACGCATTGAAGGAAAAATGAAAATAACATATCGTATCATACTTTTTAAGGTTAAATTAATATACAAGTGACATTAACATTTACATTGAAAATGGTCTAATAAAATGCAATGTACATAGTCACCATGGAATGTTCGCTCTAAATCATGTTCTCAACAAAATTATTGTTGAGATTTAACATTTCAAATAACATTACGTTTTGGAACAAAAATGAAAATAGTATACCGTATCATACTTTTTAAAGCTAAATATACAATTGACATTAACATTTGTATTAAAGATGGTTTAATAAAATGCAATGTACATAGTCGCCGTGGAATGGTCGCTGTAAATCATGTTCTCAACAAAATTATTGTTGGCAGCTGAGACAGAATATTCAACAATCTTGGTCTCTTGGATGAATTTTATGTTTTAGGCAACTGTAAGGATTAGCTAATTCTCTTCACAATATCTTAAATATGGGATATTTTAGCATATAGGGAGAATGAATTTTAAATGCTTATTCCGTCGGTTAAACATTCATTTGTCCCTAAATACATTATCACAAACACCATCAAAGTTTCTTCAAGAACAAATTAATTCGCCAAAGAACTACAAACTCTTTGTTGGAGATGAACACCAGAAGTCCTCAAACCAATCAAACAAATGCCAAAGTTCTGAACCATTTCTCACCCACGAAAAATAAAGAACAAAGAAGAACACAGGGATTATACCGAGGTTTGGTTAACATGACCTACGTCTTAGTTTAGCAGCAGCTCTCCATTTTTTCCCTTTTATTTTATTTTTTTAATTTGAAAAATTATTGAAATACTGCAAAATAGTCTCTCGGTTTACTCACATATATAATTATACCTTCTAGTTTTAATTATTTCTCAATTTTTTCCTTCACTTTTAGAACTATAAAGGTATCCTTTAAATTTACAAAAACTTATTTCAATTTCATATCTCGCATACTTTTGTGAATAGAAAAAATCTGGAGAAGCCAAATACAAACCCTTGTATACTTTAACCAATTTTATGGATTTAAAAAAACAAAAAGAAAACGTCAAACAAAACATCAAATTTGAAAACAATTATCTTGAGTTTTATGTTCTTTTAAATGCTATAATATTTTTTGAAATCTTTTCTCTAAGAGAAAAAAAAATTTCAGAAATAAATTGTCTAATTAAGAATATTTTTGCCTTTTCTTTTCTTTTTTCACAAAGTATGCAATGGGTGGCATTGAAACAAATTTTTCAAATTCAAATGATACGTTTGTAGTTTCTAAAAACAGAGGGATAAATTGACAATTAATTAAAACTATAAGGTAGAATTATGTAATTAACCTCTGTTAAGATTGGTACCAAAAAATAATGTAAAAAATATAAAATAAAAGACAAAAACTGTTTGATTATGGAGTTTGGACCTCCAATCCATGCATCTTTCATAATAAAAACAGTATGAGAAACCGGCAAAAGTACTGTCCCCTGGACCCCTTCAACCTTCAGTGCATAATAGCCCACCCCGTGTCCAAGTCTAAGGTAAATAGTGCCGGAGAAAGTGCAAAGCAAATATTTCTACTTAGAACAAAAGTTAGCTCACGAGAGTGATCTCAATTGTTACCGGCCTTGCTCCAAGGTAGCCGTAAATTCGTTGACGGACAATGGTCTACTAGAAGAACCAGTGGTAGAAAGAGATCTCCTCATAACAAAGGCTGGTTGCTTAGGACTCGGAAGACTCGCGGTTTCGCTTCCGAGCATGAAAAGTACATTTGACATTGTGGGACGATCAATCGGGTCCTCTTGTACGCACAACAGTCCTACACTCACACACCTCAAGAATTCATTTGCATTACATGTTTCTCTTAGCGTTACGTCCATCAGATCCAATGCCTTGTTTTCTCTCCATGACTTCCATGCCTGCAACCAAGTAGAAAAATGTATCCAAATTACAACACATATCATTTTGTGAATGGAAAACAATAGATCTTTTTTTTTTTTTTTAAATGTGGTTGTAGTACTAACGTAACCAAGAAGGCTCAGAGCTTGTTCTGATTGGTAAAATCCAGTGTTTCTTTTTCCACTGATAATCTCAAGGATGACAACACCAAAACTGAAAACATCGGATTTGATTGAGAAGAACCCGTCAAGTGCGTACTCTGGAGACATATAACCACTGCATAACATTTTTTGTTGGGTTAAAAAAATTGATTTACTAAAGTTGGGAGATTTCATTTTGGTATGTGTAAATTCAACCAAACAGATTTAGTGATGGAGTGCTTTACTGTGACTTACTAGGTTCCGACTACTCTTGTTGTGGTTGCCTCTGTTTGTTTACCTCCAAAAATCCTTGCCAAGCCAAAGTCAGAAATTTTGGGGTTCATCTCTTCATCAAGTAGAACATTGCTGGTTTTTAAATCTCTATGGATGATCCTTAACCTTGAATCATGGTGAAGGTAAAGAAGCCCTCTAGCAATTCCCAGTATGATGTTAAAGCGTTTGTCCCAGTTCAGCAACACACATAATGTGCGATCTTTTCCAAAATCAGAATCATTTTTAGTAACCATCTTAAGGCTCAATCTATTTTTTAATCAAGCAAAGTGTTGCAATTAAACTGATAATTTCCTGAAGTTCGGATTAATGAACTTACCGAATATGAATGAGTCCAAGCTTTTGTTGGGCATATACTCATAGAGCAACATTTTTTCATCTCCTTCAACACAATAGCCCAAAAGCCTAACAAGATTCCGGTGCTGAAGTTTGGCGATCAACAAGACCTCGTTCTTAAATTCCTCTAAGCCTTGTCCTGAACCGCTCGAGAGCCTCTTTATAGCGATCTCTTGTCCTCCTGCAAATTTACCCTGAAGCAAAGTTCAAAGCAAAAATCGTCAATTCTGAATAGAATTTCTCTGAAAAATGAGGGTCTTAAAATCTACAATGAGGGTCACCATATTACCTTATAAACAGGGCCAAATCCTCCTTGTCCAAGTTTATTTGCTTCTGAAAAGTTGTCTGTAGCAACTAGTATGCTTTCCAAAACAACAAATGGTACTTCTATGCCTTTCTTTTCATCCTCTTTGAACTCTCCTGACTGAATGAATTCTGTTATGTGTCTCTCACTATCATACAAGATAACTGACTGACTTCCCTGAATGCTCCCCGCGATATCTGCGTTTTAACATAGTTTGACAAAACCAGTTACTCGTTGTTAAAGAGGAAAAAATCCAATAAACTTTCATTTGGGTGTCTGTGTATTCAATTATGTGTATATTGATTTTCTTACGAATTACCTGGGATGTTGGTCAAACTTCTTCTTCTCATGTAATATACAACACAAATAGTGCAAGAGAGAACCAAAGCAGTCGCTATGATACCAATGATGACAACATAGAACTTCTGATTTCCTGAAGATCCTTTGAATTGCATGTGCACTAGAAATATAAAATGTGAGAAATTAGCATAGAAAATAACACGCAGCCTTGTTTTTGTGTTCCTCATGAGATTGGAATTGGAAAGTGGAAGGTTATAGCAGACAACTCACGTAATGATTAGTGCTCTAGATTTCAACATTATTCTGATGATGGTCATTGTTCGAGTGTTTTGAGGCAATGCACTTTTAGGTAGATCAATTTGATATTTAAAAATTAAAGAATAAAATAAAAGAAAGAAGATGACACAAAGTTTAACATGGTTTGACAATGTGCCTATATCCACTTACTAAGAGATGAGAATTCAGCCGTAAGGAGCACTACATATTACAATTACAGAATCAGTAAATTACCCAAGAGTATCAAATCTCTTAAATTAATTAAGAGGTTTCCAAATTTGAAAATTGATACAAATTAATTCAAACTACTAAAAAAATGTAACTACATATAAAATAGTAATTTTGCCTAATGCTTGAAACATAGGTTTTTTTTTTTGAATGGATGGGATTTCTTTTTCTGTATCGGTATTATTTGTCCGCTAGAGTACTTCCTAACTCTTAAAGCAATATTACTTTCACACGAAGCAAATCCCAGCATAGTTTTGCAGAAGACTGTACCTTCATTTAAAGTGCAGGTGAAATTCTGAGAATCCCAGTGGTACAGTTCATCACAATTGCATCTTTTCTGCCCATCTTCTGTTGCATTGCAGGATGAATGTGCCCAATCGGTGCAGTTACCAGATGTATCACAGACTGGTGGTAATGGTGGTGGATTCCATTGTATTTTAACTTCACTTGGCCTACCATCAGGAAACCAAATGTCCAAAGTAAGCTTGCTTTGCTCACTACTGCATCCACTGCTCACTTGGTACACCGATGACTGGTTGAGCTGCAGCAGAATTCCCATTTCATCTGTATTTGTGCAGTTTATAATGTGGATTGAAAATATTCTTTCTTCAGTATTGATATTTGTGACTCGGAAATTTCTACCATGTGCCCCGAAGTTAACCTGGCCGGTTCTTCTGTCACAGGTGAAATTAGCGTACATGGGATCCCCACAATCAGGTCTAGTACTTAGTGGATAGGGGATTCTGTTGGTACCACAAGTGCCACAGTCCCTTTTCATTGGTTCTGCAATATCAAAAGCTCATTGTAAAGATAAGCAAACTCATCTCTAGTCCTACAAAACGATGACCATTTTTAGTCTATCTGATGAGATTGTTCTATGGTTGGGAAATGCATTAAAGGTCCATAAGCATACTCATGAAATGTCAAATAAACAGCCTGCAAGGTTTAATCTAACCAACCCAGTATGCATTTCACAGTCATGCCTGGCCAGTTGCAAATTATTGATTAATAAGCATTTAGCTAGCTCTACTTTGAACAACCAAGTTCTTTTGCAATTTGACCATGACCATTTTTAGTCTTCCACTTGTTTCATATGAAAACATACCTAAATTTATTCATGAAACTTTCAGATAATTCAATATGAGCAGTTTTACAAAGACAGAACAATATGGATGTTACCTATATCAGACAGTGCCACACGAACATTGATGCTATGGCCATCACTGCTAAACTCCTGAAGATTGTCTAGTCCATCTGACCAAATCAAGCATCTGGGTGCATACGAATAAGCGTTGCAATGACAATCGTTTAGGCACTTGGCTCTACAATCCTCCCCTTGTTCTAAATTAACATCTACACCACGTTTTCCCACCTTCATCATCGTCAGATTCAGAAAGGTGTCGTTATAACGGCAGAGCTCCGAGTTACTTTCACACCCAGCTGAAAAATCTCCAGAATTCCAACTTTCTGGAGACTTTGGTTTGAACCCAGGTAAACATTTGCAAAAAACAGCATTCTTACTATTGCAGCTGCTAAATTCGCCACAAGCTTTAAACACGCGGCAGGGGTCACTTGGTTCCGATTGTACCAGAACTAGCCCTTGGAAGAATTGTATCTGTCCATTGAAGTTCATCACCAACGTTGTATTGATGTAATCAGATGCTTTGGAGTATCTTATGTAATCAGATGCTTTGGAGTATGTTATCGACGAATCGAAGGGCTTAGAACTAGTGGCGTTAGTTCCATTAGTTCCCCTCGTGGTGTGCCTTTTGGAATTATCTGTTTGATGGTAAAATGGCCTGGTGAAATTTGACAGCATATAGGATGCTACAGGAGAAATATCATCAAAGCTAGAAAGACTCTGTGAGGACTGGCTTTTCCAATATTGCACGTACGATCCTTTCTCTATGATGTACTGGTTATCTCTGTCACGATCTAGCAGAAAGGTGAAGTTCCCTTCTGCTGGGTCATCTTTACTTTTCCAGGAAGTCAAGTTGATGCTTCCAGTCATCTTCATACCAGGAAGAAACGTATCAGTTGGATTATCAAAGCTTTGCCATAGAATTTTGCTCTCTGATTCTTTTCCTTGATGTTCTTCTTCACTGAAAACCAAGTTTCCAGAATCCATAAGAGTCAACTTCCTCTTCATAGCAGGTCTCCCACCAACGCTTGTTGACCAAAATATGGTATCGCTACTTTCATCTGTTAACCCAAGTTCTCCATCTTTTGTAATGGAAAAAACCCCATTGGTCTTTTCCAGTGGGTGACTGCGGTTCGCGATCCATACGACTGTTTGCGGTACAATTTTGTAGTACCAAATGCCCAAGTATCTCTTTTTGCTTCTTTCTGGGTTGCAAAACCCCAGTTGGAATCTCTCTCCTGCTGAAACCAGAGTTTCATTTTGGCTGTCTCTAATGGACTCGTTCAGTGTTATGCTATCTCTAAGGTAGCAGATTGAGAAGGAGAATAGTAACAAGAATATGTATAAAACATAGGTGGTAGTTAACAAGTGTCTTGAAGAGCAAGGAAGAACCATTTTTGGCCGGGAATTGCAGAGATTTTTGGTGAAAGTGAAACTGTGTTAGCTCCTTCAATAGTTATAATTTGGTGAAGAATTCTGTGCTGATAATGTCCACATTTTGCTTAAAACTCACTGCTTCATAATTAACCTGGTCAACGTGCATGGATTATGGCCTGTTTAAAGATAATATGCATCATTTCAGTCAACTAAACTTAATTAATGTATAATGTCGTAAATAATCGCGTATACTAATAATAATAATAATAATGAATATCTGAGAATGTCTAAATAGTATTTTTAAACCGACAAAACTAATTAATCCTAATTAAAATGACAAATGTTTACCTACACAGTAGTCAGGAAGAAAGGAAACCGTACAAAGGCCTAAGCTGAGCTGAAATCACATTTGGATACCTTTATTTGTTTATTTTTTAAATACTTAAGTAAGAACAGTTGAATTGGAAACTTCACACACACACAAACAGAAAGACTAATAAGAAACTGGTCACTCTTCACCTGATGCAGAATAAGAAATTTAAGACCCAGGCCCCGTTCACTTCACAATTCGAAGAGTATGATACTTTTCACAATAATATTTTCTCACTCTTTTCATATCAAATTCTCAATTCGACCCACGAAACAGACTGGCCCTAAAAGAAAAGGAAGTCGTTGAGTTGGTGTTCATAGGAACCACAAGGGAAAGGAAACCAATCGTGGCCATAAATGGACCAAGAACAAGTCAAGGTCTTCGAAGTCTGCCCGGTTACTTTTCATTATGGACTAATATACAAACGTAACTTCTGGTCCTCACTATGTGAGAAAGAATATGGTTAATGACACGTATTAATCACGCGGCTTTTCCAAAATGCAATATTCTGTCTCTTTCTATTTCATCTGCAATGGACTTTTATGATGGGCATTGACAAATAGTGCAGTGAATAATGGCCATAGAATGGCAATTGTATATCATGTTCCAAATATCAAGCCTTGTAGGGAAGACTAGTTAGTAGAACAGTCAATAAACTTCGTTTTTCTTTTCTTTTCTTTTTTTTTTTTTTTTCTTTTGTTTTCCTCCTTATTTTGTTCGTTCTTCCTTTATCATAACTCACAACTTCACCAAGTCTTCCTTCACTGAACTTGTAGGCTCTGAGACCAGAGAAATCTCAAGTTGAGGTGAAGTTCACCTCTTAAAAAGTTAATATATTTTAAAGAAGTTGCCTGGTACGAAATGTCGATATGTCCGAGTGGTTAAGGAGACAGACTTGAAATCTGTTGGGCTTCGCCCGCGCAGGTTCGAACCCTGCTGTCGACGTTTTCTAATTTTTCAATCTACTTTTGCATCGGTTTGTTAAATCTTTTCTCATTATTTTTTGCATAAAAAAAAATCAGTTCTTTTTATTTTGTCTATTTACTTATTTTTAATCCAAAAATATATGAGAAAATTAAAAAAAAACAAAACGATAAACAATTTCTTTAGTGATATGTCAGTCTTCTTTTTTAGTTGGTGTGTAAATTTGAGAAGCTGAGGCTATGAAATTACAAGATTGAAAATTTTGAAATATAATACAATCTTACTAGTAATGCTCAAATATAGCAACTACAAAATAAAAAAATAAAAAAAATTCACTGTAAGAATTACTATATAATTGTATAGCATAAAACCTGATAATCAGTGTAATAACTACTACATAATTATGTTTTTTTAACATATTTAAGAAAATTGTTAACAATTTCATAAATCAATATGTACAACGGGGAATTTACCAAGTGGGTCGTGGCCCATAATAAAACAGTACGTAATCAATTTCAGCCCAATAGGAATACAATTGGGTTGAGATTATCCTTCCATTGAAATGGGCTCTGTACGCATCTAACAAAATTTAAATAGTAGAGTTTAAATATAGCAAAATTGTTAAAATATTATAAAGATAACAAATTTTTGATATCATGATTATATCATTATAAAATACAAAATGTGGCATTATTATGATAATGGTTATATATAGTACAAAATGTGGCATCATCATGATAATGATTATCTCATTTTTGTTACATTTATAATATTCTAAACATTCTAAATTTTAAATCAACATATGAAATTTTGTCGTAATTATCACTTTTAATATAATTCTTTGGCTAAAAAGTATTGATCAAGTGTGAGTTAATAAAAATTTAAGATTCATGCATTATAAAGGGGATTTGTCTTGATGAAACTATTTTTGTTTTTTTGAAAAATCCATTCATTTTAAAAGATATTTGTCTCTTTTTTTTTCCTTTTTTTTTCTAAATCTCAAACCATTTTGGTTCTGACTGAACTCCCTAGCTACTAGAGTGACAAATCTGCAAGCACGTCTTAGGAAAAGCTTTACGCAATGAAAGAGGTGGTATACCATAAACCACCTGTTGAGGCTGTTACTACTTAACTAACACCAGCTTACGACTCTTTTCATTCATGACAATTCAGAGTTTGGCAATCTAACTACAAATGTACTATTATACACATATTAAAAACATACACCCACATGTCACATAAATAGCAATGCGTTTTAGCACTACTGGCACCACTTAAAAACAACATTTTCTGTGGGCCAGCAAGTGAGCTCCACACGTTTGTTTCTTTTAGTGCCAGACACCCTTGTTTAACAATTTTTTTTTTTTCCTTCCCCTTTCAAGAGAGATAATAGAAATAACAAGAAGGTTTCTTTGAATCATTTAACTGTATTGGAATTGGATAGCATAAGAAAACGTGTTTTTTTTTTATCACCAAAAAAAAAAAAAAAACAAACAATGATATAGACTATAGAACACCGATATTATAAAACTGTCTTATATTAGAGATGATGTTTAAAATTAATGGTACCCTCCAACATTTTTTTTTTCTTTAAAGAAAAAAAGAGAAGGAAAGAAATGTTGAATCAAGCTAATATTGATGTTAAAAATCATAAGAGCGTGACCACAAGAATTAATCGATGCAATCAAGCAGACAGAGCTCTAAACAAAAATAAATCAACAATCGGGTTTAATTATGCTGGAGCACGTGGAGTTGAAAAATCTCTCTTATTTATTTATTTTTTTTTTCTCTCTCTCGGAGGAGACGTTTGGTTTGTGGATTAGAATCATGAGATTAAGAGATTGTTTGGTTGAGGGATTCGTCCCCTGATTCGAATCATGGTTCGTAGTTCGTTACAGTATTTTCTCTAACAAAAAATATACGTAAATCGAAAATAGTTCTAATCACATGGTTCTAATTCATGAACCAAACGTCTCTTAAAATCATTTTCGATTTACGTGTATTTTTTATGAGAAAAAATATTATAACAAACTATGAATCATAATTTTAATCAGGATACGAATCTCCTTATCAAATACAACCAGTCTCGCAACGACAAGACATTTATTTGGGAGTTGAAAATGCAGGGGGCGAAAGTGGAAGGGAAAATAGCAACTAACACGTCACCAGTACAAAACCGGGTGCGAGACCACGTGAGCAAAGTTGGGTATCCCAGAATGGAATGATGCCACGTAAGCGATTCGGAATCTCCGCAAAAACTGCCTCTGCCACAAAAGGAAACACGTCAGCATCGGCAGCAGAAATATCCTGTTAACTGTACTAACCGAGGCGACCCAAAAACCGGAGAGATGGGTTTGGGGCTCCGTGGGCCCTGGGCCCTCCAGAGCGATTGATGTATAGACCACAGAAGCTTTTGTTCCCTCCCGAGCAACCACCTGGCAGAACCAGCAACCATTAGCTCAAGGGTCTGGAGCGGTCATTTTTTATCTTGAAATGACCCATATACCCTTTCATTCATGGCTTTTATAGTTTTATTAGAGGAGAAAAATGAGAAAAAACAAAACAGTAGTATTTCCCCCCTGAAGAAAGAGAAAATAAATAATTGAGAGAGATTTTTATATTACAGTATAAAATATACTTACTGTTCTAGGTCTATATTCAGCCATCAAATAAGTTTTTTTTTTTTATTTTGCACATTTTTTTACATAATTTAGTCAATTTTAATATCTAACAATATCAAAAACGTTAGCGTGACTCTCTTTATCACTTTCTTTTTCACTTTATGTATTTATTATTTTCAAACAATAAAATTTACTATTAAACCGAAAAAAATAACAAAAAGTCTTAATAGAGCAACAATATACACTACAACCACTATAAAAAGCTCTTAATAAAATAACAATATTAATTATTTCCTTTCGTACGGCATGTTTCACGAAAGTCAAAACACACTATAATATAAAAAAAAATTTAAAAATTATAAATTTTAGAAAATGCACGCTAAGAATAAAAAAAATTCTAACTCCATCAGTGTATATCGTTAAGATATTTTTTATTTTGCAATTGTTTAAATCTCAAGTAATTTATCACCAATTATTGTGATATACTTTTTTCTTTAATTATGTTGTCATTTGTTTTAACCTAATTATCAATAAAATGAGAGAATAATTTTTTTTTAAAAAAGTAATTATTTTACAAGTCTACAAGAGCGAAATAAGTGGGGTGGTAGAAGTTGAGGAGTTGATATGGCTCCCCCAAAAAAAAAAAAAAAAAAAGGGAGTTGATATGGCATGAACCCATAAATGGTATTTTCGTAATTAGAAGGTATATGAGGGACGTTTCTGTAAACGTATCCAATTGCCCCACTCCTTCCTCTTCTTCCTTACCCGTCTCTGTACCTGCTAAGACTGCATAAGAAAGATGGAGATAGATAGATTAGAGAGAGAAAACAATAAGAAAATAGGTTAGAGAGAGAGAGAGAGAAAACATAAAGACCAGAGCGGACCCTTGAGGTCTACAAGAGAGGAAAACAAAAGGGAGGAGGAGAAGAAGAAGAAGAAGAAGAAGAGATGAAGTTCTGCGAGCTTTGCAAGGGTCTGGCTCGGACCTACTGCGAATCGGACCAGGCCAGCTTGTGCTGGAACTGCGACGTCAAAGTCCACGGAGCCAACTTCCTGGTGGCTCGCCACTCCAGGACCGTTCTCTGCCACGCCTGCCAATCCCCGACGCCGTGGAAGGCCTCCGGCGCCGAGCTCGGCATCACGGTCTCCGTCTGCGAGAGCTGCGTCGTCGGCGGGAGAAATACGGCCCAACGGGACGACGAGGAGAGCCAGGGAGGTAATGATGACGAGATTGGCACCGACGACGACGACGATCTCGATGACGACGACGAGGATGAGAACGATCACGGTGGTGAAGATCATGATTATGATGATGATGATGATGACGAGGAGGAGGAGGAAGAAGAGGTAGGTGGTGATGACGATGAAAACGTCGATAACCAGGTGGTGCCGTGGACGGCGATCTCGTCGGAGACGGCGGCGACTCCTCCGCCGGCGGCGAACTCTTCCAGTAGCTCGATGACGACGACGAGGATGAGAACGATCACGGTGGTGAAGATCATGATTATGATGATGATGATGATGACGAGGAGGAGGAGGAAGAAGAGGTAGGTGGTGATGACGATGAAAACGTCGATAACCAGGTGGTGCCGTGGACGGCGATCTCGTCGGAGACGGCGGCGACTCCTCCGCCGGCGGCGAACTCTTCCAGTAGCGAAGAGTCCGTGAGCAGGTTCGCCAATGGCGGTGGAGAAGTTTCTGGAGCCTTGTCGCTGACTTCCGATCCGACCTCTCAGGTAATCTCTCCTTCTCCATTCCATTTTTTTTTTCCTTTCTCTTTCGTGAGTTAAACTATTTTTGTTTTTCTGTTCAAGCCTGAATAATATGTAACCGTTGGTATCAAAATCTCACAGGATCATCTCGATCATTCTTGTAAACGGAGAAATTCGTCGGCGGCGACTTCACCGGCGGGTTGGTCCGGTATCGACGGTGGAGACGCTTCTGTAGAATCAATGCCATTGAAAGGCTTCAAATCAGGATCAGGTTTTCCGGGTCAGGCCCAACCCAAATCGTTTATTGAATCGCTTAGGGAATTTCGCCGGCGAGATACGCGAAATCTCAGTGGATGATCTGGAACCGTTGAACTTGATCTTGCAGAGGTCGTTCGATCTAAAAGGTAGTCTGTGATAGTCTCCAAGTGAACTTTACTCTGACCACAAAGAGAAAAAAGGAAAAAAGAAAAAAAAAATTTAACTCTTAACTGATCCTCTGATTAGGCGAGTCAGTTTGTACTAAATCAGAAAGTTTAGATATTAATATTCGATGTTTTTTCTTTTAAATTATTTAATATTTTATGTTGTTCCGGCATTGTAATTCTAATTTTTCATTAATATATTTCGATGAAATATATAAGATATGTACGCTAGAAACAAATTTTACCTGCTTCGTCTTTTGTCTTTGTTCTAGGATAATTTTCATAATTATTTTCTTTTCAAATTCATTGAAATTTTAATCATTATAAAAACGAAAAAGGTGGTTTCGCACCAATGTTTTGATGAAAAGTAAGGCCGAACATCACAATGCTTAAATGGTACCGCAGTGTTATAATAGTTTGTCAGTGACATGTTGCATCCAATGTTGAAGACTATCAAAATGTTAGGTTAGTTAGATCTTTTGAAAATTAGGGGTTTGAGTATCTAGTCAAGTGAGAAAAATTTTACGATATAGTGCAAGAAAAATAATAACGATAAATTATGAACTATCATGGAATCCCCAAAGAACTTTCACCGGTAGATCACTTGCTTTTAGTTATTGGATTATTTACAGAGAGAACAGTTTTATATGACATATTGTAAACGGATTTATACAGATATAATTGTTGAAAATTTAATTTAACAGTTTAAACTGAGTGTTGAGGGATTCCACGATATAATTTGCCTTTTAATTTTATGTGATTCAATGTGATCGTTTATAATTGTTTTCCATATCTCCTTCAAGCTAACCGTTGATTGATCTCTTTACAACATGCTTTTTCGTTTTTCAACCCAAGTGCATTTAAATTTTAACTTGGTGTTTTCTTTTGAGAATAATGTACAACTTCTAGTGTACATATAATTAGCAGTTTTCATTTCTAAACCACAAGATCACAAAATATATGAGAATTTAAAACCATAAGCAAATTTAATCTTGATGAATGGTCATTATGGTCTAGAACTACACCAGCTAAAGGATATTTATTATAGAATTCTCTTTTTTGTTAAAGAAAGTTATATAAAATTTTTGATAGAAAAAGAAAATTATATAACCTTATTACTACTTATAACCTACTCTTCTTAGAAGACGTGTATGTGGATCCAAGTTTTTTAAAAAACAAAAATAACAAAAATGTTAAGAGTGTATCAAAGTTTGACACATATATAGGACTAGGAGTGTCTTTATCTTGTTTTTGGTACATACAAAATTCAACTTGGTTAGTGTCCTCTTGATCTCTTGAGCGGGAGAATATGCCATTGCCATTGAATGATTAAACCTTGTAAAGCCAGTGAGTGAGTGAATTGAGATTTGAGAGTGGAAAAATCCCTGCACTCAAAGGAACGGAGCTTGTTGACAGTCCTAGAAATGGCGAGTGTCAGAGGAGTTAGTGGCCAATGTTAGGGCACGCAAGTATATTGTAGGACCTTTGTGAGGGGGTCCTCAAAAAATGTGTCACTCCTTGGGAACACTTGCTATTTGTGACCCTTTCTTCTAGCCAAGAACAAGTAAAACTTCATTTCATGCCTTATTTACACGGCACACACAATAATTCTTCTCCGGATCATCAAACTTTATCCAAAATAAAAAATAATATAAATAATAAAAAAAAAAAAACAGAGAATTATTTGGTGCTTCTTGGTGGGTAATGGGTATACTATGCATGTCTTTTGTGCCTTGCTAGTGGATTACTTTTACCATCACCGGTTAATCATAGGCTCTAACCAAATCATGCCTGTCGCTTTTATCTTAATTTGAACGTCTTGAAGAATGGAGATTGTTGATAGGCTTTGGCATAATAATAATCAAGTAAATTATTATAAATTTTCTTTTTTTTTTCTTGTTGTATAATTTGGTCTATAGTTTTTTGTGTTATGTGATCATTCACGTTGATTCAAGAGATATTTGTGGGGGCACTTTCTTTATTGCTTTCTTGGCAAATATCTTGGAGCTCATGACCTTTCAGCAGCGTTAAATAATAGAAGCAAAATTGTTTTTTGAATTTTTTTTTAATCATTTGGTTAGAAATCAACGTACAGCTTATGGCCGGCCATCACATCAAGTGGGGAACCGGGGGAAGCTTTTCAACGTAGGAATTCAACTTTTGCTAAGATGTAGGAATTCAACTTAAATTGTTATTTAAGCTCTTAATCATGGGTTATTATTATGTTAACCAATTGAAAAATCAGCTATCTCAACCTCAGAAAAGATTGTGGCTGAGGAAGGTTCTTAGTAACCACATGCTTATCGACCAATAATAATCCATCTAATCAAAATTTTTTTTTTTGTTATTAATAATTTGATTTTTTTTTTCATTAGTGTTGTTCCTAAGGAACCTTGGCATAAAATAATAATCGCTCACGAAAAATGAAAAGTATCAAGTGGGGGCCGTTGCTTCTTGTGGTGGAGAATTGTTGAGTGTTTCAAGGGATGGTTGTGTGGTGGTGCTTGTGTACTTCGGAAATTTCTTAACCACCAGATTCTGTTGTCTTTCATTTCATGATATGTGACAGTGACGAAAGAATTTATACTTTTTTATGTACCGTTTATGAGGCTTTACCTGGGTTTGTTGTCATTCACAACGCTGCATATGCTACAGAGTATCGGGCCCTTCTTAACACCATTCATTAATACAATATAAATTTTATTAGTAGTGGTAATCTATAAATATTTGTGTAGGATATATAATTAGAAATTCATTAGTATTTTTTTCTTTTTTTAAGAATGAAATTTTTTTTTATATTAGATTAATTTTTCAACAGTATAATAATGAGAGCATCATAGATCAGACTGATTTAAAATAATCTAATAATTAAAATAACAGTTCTTGTGTAATGATATGGTTCAAGAGTTTTTTTTTTTTTTTTTTTTTTTTGGCTAATCAATGATATGGTTCAAGAGTTGCTAAAATAAACATGCTTTCTTCTTTTCTAGTTTCATTGATGTCGTTCAATAATTTTTTACTGCGTCAAAAATCTCAGTTAAATGCCACAGAACATGGCTTCGTTCCACATTGAATGATGGAGGTTTTATCCAGATTCTCACGTTTTAATTCTGGCCGCCCAAGGCACGAGGCCTATAGCATAATGCAACGTGTTTTCAAATAAGAGGACTTACCACTTTCGGCTCATTCCACATCTAGTGGATTATTACAAATGCCTTTGCATTTTTCTTGTCGTTTCCTCGCTGAGGCTTAGAGGGAAACAAATGAGTATCAAGTAAAACGTGAATATTCGGAAAAATATATTGGCCAAATATTCCAAATTTCAGAGGGTTAACCAATTTCAATTCCCAAATGGAAATCATTATTGTATGAGACTGGACAAGAATAATCTCAATTCCTAAAAGCCTAAACGTCAACCCTTCATTTTTTATTCCCAAAAAATCTTCACCAAGTAATCCTAGCAGGCGCTCATTATTTTGGTGACATGGACAAAGAGATATGAATCGAAAACTACATCATACACTTGTTTTTTTTTTTTTTTTTTTTTTTTTTTAAAGATTGAGGTTTGAGCTTATATGGTCAATTTGAAGTCCCTTTAATTTAGATCCACGTTTTTTTTTTTTTTTTCTAAGCCTTTGGAGGGGTTCGAAGAGCCACATAAGAAATTTAAAAAATTTTCATGCCTATAAACGAACAAGATAGCGGTACATCTTTTTTTTTTTTTTCCTTTTTCAGCTATTGAATTAGGTTTAAAAATAATCTCATTAATTAAAATTTTTATCAGGTGGCAGCTGATATTATTTCATTATTTTTTAATCATTCAATGACTGAAAAAATGAGAAATTTGTACGATTCTTTCACTAAGAAAAGGATGATAATAAAGTCTAAGCGCACTAACCTAAACTTAAGAGGTTCCTAATCCTAAATCCTACTTCATCTCTTCTTTTGCAGCTTGAAAAGGACTTCTTCTTCTTTAATTGCAGCTACTCCACTATTCCATATCACATGGGAGGGCCAACCAAGGTGCTTGTCACGTTGATGCCTTTTGCAATGTACTTTATTCTTGCAAGCAATCGAAGTTACAACGTTGCCGGTCCAAATCTAGCAAGAGACGTCATTGGGTGAAAAACAAGGGCCATATTTGGAGTTAGTTTTGGGCGCGTTTGGAATTCGTTCTAAAATAATTTTATTTTTTGTATAAAAATGAAAATGAAAATGTTTTTAATCTCAGACAGAAATCATTTTTAAAAATGTGTTTGGTAGTTTTGTCAAGAGATTATTTTCAGTATAAAAAATCCATTAATGTCTCTTTTTCTCTCTCTGCTCGAGAGAGGAGAAAACGAAAATAAAAAATGAAATACGACTAAAAGTCGTTTTTCATTTCTCTCTCATTTTACACTAAACCAAAAAAAATTTTTTATTTCTGTTTTTGTCTTTATTGCGCCAAACGCCGTTTTGAAAACGTTTCTATTTTTTTCTTGAAAAACGTGAAAATAAAAACGGAATCAATTCTAAACACGGCATTTGTTTTTGTTTTTCACATTTTTCGATAAAGAAAAAATGAAAACGGAAGAGAAATGATGTTCGACACAATTAAAGATAAAAAAAGGGAAATGAAAACGATTTTTTGGTTTAATGTAAAATATGAGAGAAATGAAAAATGACTTTAAAACGACTTTTAGTCGTTTTTCATTTTTTATTTCTGTTTTCTAATCTCTCGAGCATAGAGAGAGATAGAGACATTAATGAATTTTTTTATACTAAAAATAATCTCTTAATAAAACTACTAAACACATTTTTAAAAATAATTTCTATATGAGATTAAAAATATTTTCATTTTTATTTTTATACAAAAAATAAATTTATTTTAAAATAAATTTCAAACGCACCAAGAACTCCCATTAGTATTTTTTTTTTTTTCATTTCCATTACTTACCTAATGAATTGAAGAGCCATGAAACGACAAGAAGGATTCAATTTCCTCTCCTTTCGTTCTAAATTGGTGAAAAATCCCTGTCAAGTTGAAAGCTGAAAGCCCGCACTTGGCAGTTGGTAGGACCCCATGAGACAAACAGTCACATCTAATTTTTTTATTACAGTAAAAAACTCTCATATAAAGTCACATTTTAACTCGAATCAGCGAACTAAACAGGCCCTGAATGTTTTTCGAACTTGCGAGAGTTTTTAATTCTAATTTTATTATAATTAAAAAATTTTATAAAAAAAAAATTACATTTAATTTTTTATACTATAATTAAAAATCTTTATTTAAAATCATATCTCAATTCAAATTAAAAACTTGAGTCAACAAACTAAACGATGCCTTATTCGCCCATTATTCGACATTACATTTTATCTCTGTTCTTTGTGATTTGTTTACATTGTCTTTTGGTTTAGTCTACTTGTTCATGGATAGAAAATGGCAAAGGGGAATAATATTCCTTTTTTTTTTTGCCATCCGCCGGTAAGTAACTACGAGGGAACACAGAAAATGCTAACTGTAAAACAAAACAACAAACTGAACTAGTTTCCGCAAAACTTTTATTGACCATCAAACCTACCTACAAACATCCACACCCTTGAATATTGCAATAATCACAAGAACGAAATTCCAAGTATATAATGGAGAAGCAAACACCGTTTCTCTTACTCTACTGAGGGGAAAACTCCGTTTAAAATTGATATATTTTCAGCGAGTAATTATGTAACCAGACACGCCTTTGCAAAAGGTCACGAAAGGTTCAGGGGTTCGCCACACAGTTGCTTCATTTCTCTCTCCAAAAGTTTCAATAAATTTGCTTTATTCCGCCTATAAATCCAAGCTTGAGCACTGGGATCCCAATCGAATCGGTAAGGGCCACTGCATGAAAAAAACGCAGTACTTTAGTAATAGATGCATGAGATGTAATAGGAATTTGCATTGATCCACCATCAGAATACCTCAACAACATAATAACCAGGAGGAGTATGGGGAGCAAAGAAAAATAATGTGTTATGTTTGCAATGTTAAAGTGCTTCAAGGCCATATCCGATTATAAAGAATCCCTTTGAGAAGATAGACTAGTCATGTTGAGCAAACATTTAAACTACTCATGTTGCCATGTTGCCATTTAAACATTTAAAACATTGTAGACTAGTCATGTTGCCATAATCCCTTTGAGTTTTGAAAGTTCAGTTACGAGGTTGAACAAACATTTAAGCTACATTAAACACGTCCATAACATATGGTGTACAAAGAAGATGAACATCTTCTCCTTTGCTGAGCGGAAAAAAAAAAAAAAACAAAAGAATTAAAATAAAAAAAAAGTCCTCTCCTTGCAGAGAAAAATGAAGACCTTCTTGAAGGACTCTCTGAAACTGACAAGATACGAAAACCGTGGTTGGCCACATGGCCAATGGAATCACGTCACAACAAAACCTTCAAGCTACTCCTATGCATCCATACCTTCGACCTAAAGTTTTATTCATGAAAGAATTTCCCTGGATAACATCTTTCTACTCCTCTACGAGAGCATAACAAATCTAAAAAATACGAAAGTATGCACTATCCTAGTTGAATGGAATAAACCAACATGCGGCTAAAAGTTTAACAAGCAGAAAGAAGATATGGATTTCCTAAAGAAGATGCATAAGATATGAAGACAAACTATGCGAAACATCAATTGAGAAAAGGTTTTTGTTTATTCTAAAAGATAGAAAACATATAATAGTCCAACCAAGAAACATTACAAAACATCACCTTACTGGGGAAGACAGCCAAATTTGTCTATTCGGAGTTTGTTTGTTCAAAACATATGTTCCCAGTTCCCCAAGCTTCAGGGTTAACACCTCATTCTGCCAAATTAGACCCATTTGCATTAGAACTAGTAAATATCTTCCATAAGACTTAACATAGAACATACAAAGTCATTATTTTTTATTTTTCAAAAAGGAAGAGAAGAAATTAATCTCACCCCATAGTCTATGTCAAAACCATCAACTTGAACAAGATCTCCATATTCCTATCGGACACCCACAAGAGAAAACATGCCAGTAAATCATATAGCGAGTCTAGCAATGAGTCTAGGACTGCAACAAGGCTAACATGAACCAAGGGCTTGCAAGTTGGTCCTTTTATTTTTATTTTTTTTAAGTCGTGGGTGAGGAAGGCCTTCCTTGGTAACACTTTTTAAGAATACCTTCAATGCAATGCCAGGTTTTTTGGCACAAAAAAAGTATAAAAATAATTTTACTTCATATTTTCTTCCATAATACTATTTCAAATGCTTGTTTTATTATTTGTCATAAATTAAAATCTTTGGAACTTAAAAGAAAAATTGTTTACATGCAAAAGAATAGAAAATGACAATGGTGTAAATATTAAGTGAAAAGGTCAAGGAAGATCAAGTGGGGTGGGAAGGCATTCCTTGGTAACACTTTTTATAACAAACATCAAAATAATATGCCACACAGCCACATAAATAAAGTCAAAAGACGAACAGAATAACACAATGGCCAAGCATTATAAGAAACAACAACATGCTCAGTCACTTTGTGCATTTGGAAAAATTAACCTCAATAGAATCATGTTAATAAGCACAAAAATGATTTAATTAATTTATTTTTTTGTTTAAGTCGGAGGCTAAAAGGATGTAAATTTACCGAAAATTCTCGATAATTTACAAGAGAAACGAATAATTTTCAAACTTGCGACACATAATTTCAGAAAAAATAAAATAATTGAATGACAAAATTACCTCGAATTTCTCTTGAAGGTCATGTATTGTGGAATCAGCTAGCCTGTGAAATTCACCCTCCTGCAGAAGAGAACTGTATTCACATTAATCATTAGCATATTCATAATCAGTCCCTTCTTATTATTCAAAAATCATTTTTTTTTCTCATTTCATTATGTATGAATTCTAAGCAGAAGAAAAACGAACGAATTTTTGTATTTCCTAATCTTTCTCAGCAAGCAATCAAAATCTGAAAGTTTCTCTTATTGGAAAGACGTACCGGTAGTCTATGGCGGCGGGGCCTTGAGAACTTTCGTCGAGGTTCAGAGGTCGAGAGCAGAAGCTTCTAGAAGCGACGGAGTAACAAGGTCTCTGAGCGGCGACGTCGGAGATACAGAGATCTCTAGAAGCATCTAGAACTAGAAGGGAGGAATATGAGCCGTAGCTTGAAGAAGAAAAAGAAGATGGCGGTGGGAGTTTGGAAAGCCTCCATAGCCTTCTCAGGGGAAGCAACTTCGACGCCATTAGCGTTTCCAATCAGTTTGTCTGCTCCGAGCTTGACGCGGACCATTTTGGTGGGGAGATGAAATTATGGGCCTTGGGAGATTGATTACAGGCCCAGAAGAATACTGAATGGGCCCTCTTATTGCCATCGCGCGAAGTGCTATTGGTTATAAGCCCGTTTCGAAATAGACAATAAATTGCACTGACTTTTTTTTTTAGTTAATTACACATGTCTATTTTACGACGGATGAAAAATATTGTGCACAAGTTGTTATATTCATATATAAATCTGTTAAATAAACTGTAATAACATTTCTATCTTTAGTTAACTATTTTTTAAAATCAGTTATACAAATTTATAACTACCCAAATAAAAAAAAAAGGTATATTTAGAATTATATCATATCAATAACTATAAAATAGACAGATTAATAATATTGTTGAATTAAAAACTATATCCTAAATATGAAGAGTAAAAATAATCACTTCGTGTAAATGCTTTTTATTAGGGTAATTTTTAGTTCCCGAACTATAATTAATCTCATTTTAGTTTATAACTTTTAAAACAATCTAAAACGAGTCATCATTGTATGAACTTAGATGGAAAAATTTGGATATTACTTATATGAGTGGAAAACTAATATTTGAATGTTATTATGTTGGGTTAAATGACAAACTTAAAAATCATATGCAACATTTTGCATGTTTATCAAATATTGCTTGTGTGGTAGCATTTTTGCTTGTCAGGAGTCTCAGGACCTTATCCGTAAAGGCGCTTGTTATAGGGTTGGCCATGGTGATTCTGTTCGGGTCTGGATTGACCCTTGGCCATCCTTTCGACCTTCTCGTAGGGAAGGAGTGGAGGTAGATAATTTTTTAACGGTGGATCGTCTAAAAGATCCTCATTCTGGTGGTTGGAACGTTGAGCTTCTGTGCAATCTGTTTAATGAGGAGTCTGCCAATTGGATCTGATCTTTATTCTGTCCTGCCAATATTACATATGACCGTTTATTTTGGGTAAAGGACTGTAAAGGATCTTTTAGCACCAAATCTTCTCATTGGACTTTAAATGAACATAGTTTCGAGTTGGCTGCCTCGAGTCGCAATCTTGCTTGGGTGAAACTTTGAAAGGCCAAGATTTTAGAGAGGCATAAGCTCATGTTTTGGCGTCACGGATTCTTGATCCTGAATTTAAAAAGTCCTCTGTGTAATTTTTAAGACTATGCGGTCCACCGTAAGAGAATAGAATTTCACTCCTTTATAAACTCATTATAATTCTCATTTATTGTCAATATGGGACTTTATTCGCGCCCTTAATTAACAGTAATCTTGCATAATAGGATGAAGTTCATTTATTTGTTTCATGTCCGTTTGCTAAAGCTTGTTGGTTTGGTGGTTGGTGGTGTTTGAGAAGGGAGGAGGATCTTGTTGTTGGCCATGCTTCTGACTTAAGTCAATCTCGTTCTAGACCCGCCCGCCTCAAAGGCTACGCCACCGTCACTCTCAAGAGGTAAACTTCTCAGCTCTTTGTGCTTTTGTTATTGATGGGATTTGGACAGCTAGGAATAATAACTTGCTTTTCCGAGGGTCAATACCAGACCCTAATCTTTTGATTCAAAAGGTGGATAGACTTTTTAACGAGTTTTATGGTACCTCGTATCCTCTAGAAGATGTACCAAGTGTTCCTCCTATGTCTTCTGCCCCTTGTAGACTATATGATTGGTGCCCTCATCCTCGTGGATATGTCAAATTGAATTGTGATGTGGCTGTGAGTGAAAATGTTGGTTTTTTTTAGCTGTGCTTACCTGGGATGCAAATGGTTGTCTTTCTTTTGCTTCAGTGAAAAAATTGGCTATTACCTCTCCTTCCATGGGAGAAGCTTTTTGGCAAATTCGTTTTGCGGTGGATTTGGCTGTGCTTAAGGGATGGGACAAGATTGTTTGCGAAGGGGATTGCTTACCTGTGATTAATGCTTTTAATGGCTCTTCTGCTCACCATTGGGACGTGAGTACAATTGTGGAAGATTCTATTCCGGTTGCTAACTCGCTTTCTGTTTGCAATTTCTCTTGGGTTCCGCGAGAATTAAACCTTTTAGCTCACAACATTACCAAATAGGTTTCGGCAAATCAGTTACGTCAGATAAGTGGGTTGAAATTCTTAAAAATGTATTTTTTAGCTTCGTTCATTTCACCAATTTAAATTTACAGTTGTAAGTTTTTATGATTAAAAGTTCTCAAAAAATGTTACATCTAACTTTTTCTATTATAATTAAAAACTCTTAAAAAATATCACATCTAAACTCAAATTGAAAATTTAAATCCGCGAAGCGAATGAAGTCTTTATTTTTGCCTCTTTGCAGTTCTTTTTTTTTTTTTTTGTACTCCTGCTTATCAAAAAAAAGAAAAAGAAATACCAATTTGCTAAAAGAACTAAATAAATAAAAGAAATTTGATGTAAGTTAGTTATACCGACTGACTGTTGAATTAGATTAAAATTATATTAAATTAAAAAAATATATATATATAATAAATAATTTATAGTTAAGGTTGAAAATAATAGTTCATTTTTTTATAGTTTTACAAGAGAAGTTTCTACGAGTAAAAAGAAAATAATACTCGGGGAAATTTCAATGAGTAAATCAAACGACAAACGTAATCAAAAGAATAAAGAAGAAGGCCAACTATCGTATTCATTGCTTTTGAGTTCACAACATGTTTTTATAATATTGGATACGCTAACCATCCAAAAAGAGAGAGTATCAAATCTCAAATGCAAAAGAAAAGTATCCAGTTGTCACGCCAGAAGTGGACGTAAATGCTTAACTTTCAGCATAGGCATAGCAACAATGAAACGAAAGAAATCACCCTGTATAGTGTTTTTTTTTTCTTTTTTATATAATTCTTTTATTGTGTGTATATATATATATATTCAATTGCTTTTAGAGGGTTTTTTTAGGAGTAATTCTTTATTTTTTAACCGTTATCAGATATTATTTATTTTAGATATTTTGTAATGTGATATAATTTTAATGGGATTTAGTAGTTAAAATCGGATACTACCAATAAAAAAAGCCTCCTATAAAAAGTTTTATATCAAATCGTTTCTCTTTTGGTCCCTAAAATGCCAAGTTCCTCCACTTTTAGAATTTGACACTGTTAATAAATAAGTAATAGTTGGCCATCCTTGATTGAGAACAAAACAAGAACATTGCATCCATCACCCAAAGTACAAGCATAACACATCTAAAAAAAAATGTGATATATTCCGTCTTTGAATAAGAAAATTGCTGGCACCAACCGTAATTAAAGACACGGACAAGTCACCCGTACCACCACAAACGCACACATCGTAAGTATTTGTGGACTTTACTTTTTAGTTTCTCTTCGCCTAGTGTTGTAATGTCACCTGTTAGTTAAATAATAATAATAAAATAGATATTTCAGAAAAAAAAGAAGAAAAATTGAAGATCTTATTCAATTCATCAATTTAAAATTTTAATTTTAATTATATTATAATTAAAAATTCTCATAAAAAATTAAATTTAAATTTTTTATTATAATAAAATTTTTTTACATAAAATAATATTTTAATTTAAATTTACGAACGGAACGAGATTTAAGTTATAAAAATGTAAATAAAACCGCTCAACAAAGAGAGGCCTCACCGCTCCTTCTATTTGTGGACTCAAATATTCCCTTTAAGTTTGTCTGAGGGAAAGGATTTTTGAAAAAATATATATATTTCTTTTCTTTTAACTTTATCTTGTTCTTTTAGCCTTTTAGGTCTTTCCAGTTCCTTCTTTTTTTTTTTTCCCCCGAAAATCCAGTTTCCTCTTTAAAATAAAAAAAAAATCCTAAATTTCCTTTCATTGAGATAAATGTTTTATCTTTTTTCCCAACCCAACCCCTACGAACATAGCATCGAAGAAAAAACAATATTGGTAAAAAAAATAAAATAAAATAAAGTAAAGAAAAAGTCTGGCCGTTGTTTAGGTTTATAAAGCACGGACAGGCAAACAGCTTGGAGTACAAGGCTGAGCCATCTTCGCCTGACACCGTTTGTTCTAAACCATATATATCAGAGTTTGTATATATCTCTTTATATTGCAGCTGAAGAAGAAGGAAAAAATAGTTCTCAAAGTTATTTTTCTTTTCATTGAAGGCGTCCTCTTTTACAATCTGGCTAGGCAGAGGTCAGATGATTCAGATCCCTATTTCGTTATTTAATCTTCGCTGTTCTGTAATTTGGGTTTCTGTTTTCTGGAAACAAAAACTTGTTTTTTCCTTTCTATTTTTGTTATGCTCTATTCTTGGTTTGTATTTATGTTTGTTTGCACAAGTTAGGACTTATTATTATTGTTTTTATTGAAATTTGTTATTTTGTCAATCATTTTTCTCTGTTGGAGATTGTTTTTGCGTACTACTGGAATGAATTTTTCTTTTCTTTTTCTCTCTTTTTTTTTTTTTTTTTGTCTCGTTCTGATTTGTGGCACTCCATTGATTCTTACATAATGGTAAGAGAAGTTTGAGAGAAAAAGGAAAAAAAAAAGAGTAAAGGTTTTGAATTTTATGTGTGGAATGAAAGATAGCTATCAAATTTATAGTTTGGAGTCATGCCAAAGGATTATCTATATGCTTTCTCAAGGGTTAGAGGAAGAGAAATTATGGGATCTTACAAGAGTTTAATTGGGGTTTTGAATACTACCTCAGATTGCTGTTGGCGTTACCGTAATAAGAGATTCAAGATTTTATTGCATGGATTTTGTTTTCTCAGAATTCTGCGTTTAGTTTAGTGGAATTAAAACTTTTGTGTTGATTTTCATTAAAAGAAGAAGAGAATGAGATGATAGTGAAAAACTCAATAAATGAACCTTATTGATCTATTTCTGCGTGTATGAAAAGTAATGGAAGATAACAAATAACTAGGAGTTAGCCTCTGGGGAATTATGATATATTCTCTCATTTCTGGGTGTTAGAAGTTGTTTTTGTCGTATTGCTTGAATTTCGAATATTAGTTCAATAATTCTTACATATTTCATTAGCCTGCTTAAGAATTTTATGTACGTATGAAGTGTTGTTTTCTTGCTCCAAAGTCTAGACATACATTCAGGTTACTGATGATTTTTCTCTCTATTTTATTTTTTTCCTTTTTTTTTCCCATTCTGTTAATCAGGCCAGCATCTCTTATGCATGATTTGATTTGGGTTCGCCATTTGGCAAGGATTTTCTTTCACTCTGGCCGCTGCAAAAAAGTCAAAATCTTCTCGCACCTTTAAAGGGGTGTGGGGTGACAATGAAAGATTGATTGTGCTTTATGTTGGAACATCAAGGTCATCAACTGTTTGGAGATTGTGCCGTGTTTTGGAGGGGTTATCTTTGGATTATGGCTAAGGCCATCTATGGCTGAGTTTTCGGAAGCTTGACTAGTAAAGCCAGGTCTTCATTTCAGGCTTCTGGAGTTTAATGACCAGTGTAGTTTGATCATTGTTTGTTTTCCAAAACAAAAAAAAAAAAAAAACAAAAAAAAAAAAAGAAGGTATTGCTATGTGGATGTAGCTCTTGTATTGCAACAATGGTGAGATTTTCGTGTTTTAATGCTCACATCCATACCCACAAACCTAAGGTAAGCAAAACACTCAATTTAGTAGAACAGTCAACTTTTATAGAACTACTATAATTTATTGTGGCTCATGATAACTCGTTATGTTTCATTTTCAAACAGAAAACTCTTCATCCTTCAGTTGAGTCCTTGCATAAGTCCTTGCAAGATTGCTCTCGTGGTAGTTTTTCAGATGATTTATCTAACAAGACAAGCCCCTTATTGTTGAGTTCACAAGTAGTGGGAGATGCTCAAGTTAATAATGGTGCTAAGCATGTTTCTTCTGTTGGCCGTGGTTGGAAGTCAGAGGACATGAAGAACAAGTTTGTCATTGATAGTGATTTACTGATTCCTCATAGAGGGAATCTCAAGAAAAGTCAGTCTCTGGGAAGTGGATTATACCGGGAGGGGAGGGTTTCTGCCGACAATGACTTTGAAGAAGAGACAGATCAAGGACTTTCTTGTGATGGTTCCCAGGACCGAAATGGGTTTGGTGCAAGAGATGGAAGCAAAGACAGTGACGTAAGCCCACATGATCAGTATCAAAAAGCGCCAACCTTAGACACTTTTCACGTAAGTAGTGACATTGTCAATAATGAATCAATTTTCTTAAATGGGGACCAACCACATTCTGAAAAGGAACCCCAGGACCATTCTAAAACTCCATTATCTGGTGAGTTGGCTGGTGAGTGTAGTGACCAGACATTACATACACTGCGTCGGGTTGTAAAATCACGCTCTTTACCCGACCTTGGTGCTTGTACGCCTACTTCTAGACGTCGTACACGTTTTGGTCCATGTTCAAGGTCCTCTGAAAATCTGCATGTTCCGGACATGAGCTGGAAAGATATTACAGTTCACGAGGTTGAAAAACATTCAGTGGGAGGAGAAGTAGGAGATGACAATATCTGTAAAGCGGAGAAAGGTACTTTTGATAATTATGAGTCTTGCGATTATTCTGGTTTAGCAAAGGACTGGATCATGCCGGTTGTGGACAAGGTCGACACTGGGAAAAACGTCCAGGAAGAGTCCTTGCTTCACCAGTGGGACGAATTGCCAAACAAGGATTTTAAGATTAAGCGCATTGAGGAGTGGGTTAATGATCTACAGCATTGCAGCCCGTTGGAAGAAGCCAATGAGTCATTAGATTGTAAAGATAACATGAAGAGAGATTCCGGTTCGTTAAATGGATTGGCTGCTGCAAAGATGGAAGATAAAGTCACTCCTGGCATGGATGCTGCAAAAAGATATATATCTTCCTTAGGCGCATCTGCTACCACAGCACAGCTGGCTAATCATGGATTGGTTGTGATCCCATTTCTCATTGCATTTGCAAGTCTGAGGGTGCTCAATCTATCAGGAAATGCAATAGGTCTGAATCTCTAGCAGCTCGCTCTGCAAATCAGTTTCAGTTCTCTGATTCTCCCTACCTCCCTCCCTCTCTCTCGCTAATTTTATTTATTGTTGTTCTGTTTGCTCACTCGTTTCAGTGAGAATAACAGCTGGTGCTCTTCCACGGGGACTTCATACGTTGAATCTGTCAAAAAACAGTATTTCAACTATTGAGGGGTTGCGTGAACTCACAAGACTCCGTGTGCTAGACCTGAGTTACAACCGAATTCTCAGAATTGGACATGGTATGTCAGAGTTCGGATATAACCTTGAGAGTTGCTAGCTTTCTTTTTCATTTGTTTCCTTATGTTGTATATTTCATTTATTGGAATTGTTAAAATTAATGGAGTTTGAAAATTGTGCTTAATAATTGTTGACACTGATCGTTATCCACTATACCTGAACGTTTGAAGGCCTAGCATCTTGTTCCTCTCTGAAGGAGTTGTACTTGGCTGGAAACAAGATCAGTGAGGTTGAGGGTCTTCACCGCCTATTGAAACTGACCGTGCTGGATTTACGTTACAACAAAATCTCGACAGCCAAATGTCTTGGCCAGCTTGCAGCTAACTACAATTCCCTGCAAGCCATCAGCTTGGAAGGTAACCCAGCACAAAAGAATGTTGGTGATGACCAGCTGAAGAAATATCTTCAGGACCTTCTTCCCCATTTGGCTTACTTCAACCGGCTACCAATTAAAGCCAGTACTTTGAAGGATTCTGCAGATAGATCAGTTCGGCTAGGCATCAATTCACACCAGTTTGATCGCAGCCTGAGACCAGATCACAAGGCTACTAGGAAAGGCAGCCACATTCTAACTTCTCAGAGGCCACCGTCTTCAGCAGCTCACGGTCGTGGAAGTCAAGCAGCAGTGTCTCCAAAACACTTGAAGGGAAGGCATGGCCGCCTGCCTCCAAATGGGACTAAAGCACCATCTCATAATCGGCATCATTATTTTGACTTTGGCAGCAAAATTATGAACTTCAAACCAGATCTCTCGATGCGCAGGAGTAGAAGTGAGGAGACTTTGGGAGCTATTTGAGATTGTTTTTCTCATGCTTTAGAGTATGGTTTCTTATTTTCTGTTTCGCTTGTGGGTATGTTTGTTTGAATTACGTTTCGCCTATTTACCAAAGCAGACTTGAACTTGATTTGCAACTGTCCAGATTCTATTCTTGGGGGCCTTCAGTCAAATAACAATATATGCTATCAATAATAATTATCCTGTGTTTCCCTAAAAAGAAAAATAGTTATCTCGTAGTTCAAAAATAAAAAATAGTTATCTCGTAGTTCAAAAATAAAAAAATAGTTATCTTGTATTTGCTTTTGTCATGTTATTTGCATCGACTGTTTTTAGCCGAGAGTCCTTCAAAGAAAAGAGGGTTAACAACCTGCATCTGGTCTGGTATTTTTGCACAGGAGCCGTTGGTAGTGTTATGCTGAACTATGTAAAGACAGATTGTAAGACGCTGGGTGACCTGATTGATATACATCTCGGAATCTACGAGCAAAATGTAGTAGATGTAAATGAATACTCGAAGCAGTTAAAATAACTGGTTTTAGTATAATCAAAGCAATCTAGTTTTATACACATACATCAACACGTCATGTCTGAGAAAGACACTTGAGAGGTAAAAAAAAAAAAAAAAATACAGTAATTGGTCCCACTTCATTCAATTTTCTCATTTTTACATGGCATAAATACAAGTGTTAACAAGAAATTACACACATCTTAAAACACTTTGCAACCCTGTAAGCGACAACATTGAGACTTCTTCCTGGTTGCGTTGGGTCAGTTTCTGCGGTCAAAATACAAAGGCATTCAAGTGTTGATTTTTCCAGATAAATCCAATATAGCCAACGTTAAAACAAGGACGGAACAACGTTATGCACTAGTAATTAGTAAACTACATTATTAAAAACCACGTGAAATTGAAAAGGACATTTTTGCTCGAAACAACCGCTTAAAAACAACGGGTGCGTTCCGCTGCTTAAAAAACTCAATAAAAGGTAACTCGAGTTTCAACTTTATTCAAGTTCATGTTTTTTTAAGTTTGAATTCGAGTTTGGGATTAAAATTCAAGTTCAAGTGTCCCCTTCAACTCGAGTTCAGAAAATCGAACTCAAATTAATGAACAATATTTTTTCTATTCTTAAAAATGCTACAACTTTTTCGTTTTAATCCTGATTGAGATGATTTTTTTTCTATACGTTGACAACGAAAAGACAAATAAAACCCCACCCATATACTCTATTAAAATTTTTCATCACCATTGAGTTTTTATTAAAATACTATCTAAATGTAAATTTAAGTTTTGACTCACTCAAATACAAACTCAAAAAAAGATTTTTATTTCAAACCATAACTCAAATGTACACAATCAAACATAAACTCAAGTTATAATTTCAACTCAAGTTATAATTCAAATTCAACTAAAAAACTACACTCTAAAAGAACAGGCCCAACATCTTTCGGCCAAGATTTGTGTTGTCAAAGACGCGGGTAATCTAAATGGATGAAATTTTATGGACTTCAGGAAACCTTAGATATGTCAGTAGTCTACCCAAGATTCGTCCTCACCGCTCCACCAAAAGTAAAATTAATAAATTAATAAAGAGAAAATAATATCGGCCAAGTCATTGATTTTTTTTTTTTTTTTTTTTTTTTTTTTTTACCTGAAATGATGAGAAATCTTGCAATTCCAATCAAACAATCGTTATACATCTGCAGGCACAGAAGAGATATGCAAGTTAGTATGGTCATGGAATATAAACACCTTTTCGCTATCAGAGTTTTACAACTAGCCCGTTTTAAACACTTTCTCATCCTTTTGTTCTGCACTCTAGAAGATGAGAAAACCATAGTCAAAAGAAAAATTGGTATACCATATTTTTCACTCATAAGGAGGGGGATAAATAGGGTGAATTTCACTAGTGCCCCCAAACATGTAACCACCAATCTATTGAACCATACCAGAAAACGAATATCTGAAATATGTAGCCAATTTGTCTAAAAACCCATATTTCCCTTCCAAAAGGGACGAAATTTTGAAGTTTCAATCTTCAATGTCAAAGCCAATTCAACTAAAATTGTATGCATTACGAGCGGGAAAACAAAGAACTTCTTTTCCAATCTCGTCGACAAATTTTGTTCTTTTTTTTTTCCCCTCATCCTTTGAATGAATTCCTCCGCCTTATTTCACTGAAAGCAATTCATCACTATCACGCAACACAAAAACGACAAAATCCAATCACAAACAAACAGAGCAAGTATGTATTACTATTATTAGTTTTACCTTTGGGCTCATCGGAAGCATCGTGGTACTCCTGGTCTTCCTCCGGCACAGGATGAAGCTCAACATGCTGACCCGCCGCCGCACAACCAGCGACGCCGCCGTCAACATCGCCGCCACAAGCCTCGTCCTTCTCATTGGGAAACCTGACCACCACGACCGGACAAACGCAGTGGTGGACGCAGTAATCGCTGACGCTCCCGAGCCTCCCCTTGGCCGTCCGCTTGGAAGCCCCAAACCCACGGCTCCCCATGATGACGGCGCTGAGCCCTAGCCTCTCCACCTCCAGGCAAAGCCTCTCCTTCATGTCGTGGTCCTTGACGATGTGGATTCTGAACGGGATTTGGGCCTCCACCAGGGGCTGGGCCAGGTCCTGGGCCTTGGTCGTCGTGAAGGCGTCGAAATCGTCCTCCAGCTTCTTCCTCTGCGACTCCTCCGACGAAACGACGTCGTCGTTGCCACCGCCGAGGTTGAGGTCGATGGAGCCCCAGTCGGCGCCGTAGAGGACGCTCGTGGGACGCACGTAGAGGAGGATCACGGCGTCGCCGGGACGGAGGTAGTTCTGGACCGCCCATCGGACGGCGTAGGCGCTCTCGTTGCTCAAATCGACGGCGATCGCGATCCTCCGCTGGGAAGAGGTCGAAGAAGACGGTTGGATGTGGATTGTCGGAAGCGGACGGTTCGGTTCGGGATGAGACGACAGCGGTTGCGGCGGGTTCATCTTCGATGTCGGAGATCGGCGAAATTACGGAAATAGACCTCCGAATTTGTTGGGCTTTTGATGAGAGAGAGAGAGAGATGATGAGCGTCAAAACTCAAGAAGTCTGTGAGAGTGAGAAAAGGGAAAAAGTAAGGAGTTGGGTGGAGATTAGAGGTGGTGTCTGACCGGAGAAATGAATAAATAATAGAATATGTTAGAAAGAAAATGTGAAAAGAGAGAGAAAGTTGTTGGTTTGATAGTTAAAACTGAGCAGTTTTTTATTATCTCATGCCTTTGCTTCCGTTTCTGTAAACTTTCAGTTATTACAGGTGATTTAACTGTACTGTAATAAAAGCTCTATAAGAAAGAAAAATAATAATAATAATAAAAATAAAGTATTATCACTAGTGTCCATTTTAAGGTCAGCTTGTCAATTAAACTTTAAAATTTCTTATTTTATTTTTTAAATTTTAAAAATTTAGATATTTTATTCAATAATAATTTTTAAAGTTAAGAGAACAAACGAAAAATGAGCATAAAATTTAGAGTGCTCTAACAATAATAATCTAAAAAAAAAAAAAAAAAGTGAAATAGATTGTTAATTTTGTCCGCTAAAAAATAGTGGCTCAGTGCTATTGAATCTAAAGAAATTCCCCATATTAAGTAATTGCATTGATGCATTTGAAGCATTAGTTTTAGTAAATTGCACTTCGAACTTCTAATTTTGGTGTGTGTTGCAAGTGAAGTCTAGTCATAGTGGATGTTAACGGATAGTTGGTTGAGGTCACGTGATTTGCACATGAGGGGGTTTATAAGGACAGTGATTGTCATTTTTAAAAGAAAAAAAATTGAAGCTTGACACGTGAAACACAAAAGGCAGACATTTTAGCACCTAAGATAAAATAGGAATTTACTCAGTCTCCTTACATACTCTGCAGCTATGGTTCTGTTTATTTCACTGATTCGAGTTTAAAATTTGAGTTTAGTTACAGTAAAAATCTCTCAGAATCAGTCACATCTAACTTTTTTATTACAGTAAAAGGCCCTCACATAAAGTCATATCTTAATTCGAATTAAAAATTCGAATCAGCGAACTGAATGGGCCTGAATTTCTCCTGTGAACAGCGTTTGTATGTTGGAAGAAATCAGGCGAGTGAAGAAGTAGATGATTGTTCTTCGTGAGCCTTGTGCAAAGGCCACAAAATACTGCAAGTGCGACACCGTTTTATTGATTTTTTGTATGGGTTTTGAGTGATTTAGGAGAGAATATATGTTGGTTTGAGATAAAAATGGAAGATGCTTTTTTTTTTTTTTTTTTTTCTATTTTCTATTCTCTATTCATTTGTTGGAGAAAAATGTTAGGGATTTTTCTTCTACATTCAATATTTTTTCATTCTAAATGAAGAGTGCTTACTTGGTTGAAGATATTTGGGTTTACTTTGATTTCTTTTTTATTTTTCGTTCTTATTCTTCATTTACGTTGGGTGTATTCATATTTGATTTATTTTTGTTCTTATTCTTTGACGAGTTATTCCCAATTCCACCTTTAAAACAATCTCACATGTGAATCACCTGACCAAGACCGTCCATATATTAATGTCTATTACAAATTAGACTTTAATTGCAAAATATCTTCAAATTCAGATTGCAATTCGCCAAAAGTAAAAATTTTGGGACGCAATTTGTCAAAAACAAATAATTAGTGGTGCATCGGTACAATTTACTTTAATTTTAAATTAGATTATATACCATTTTTATCTATAGTTTTTCACTTGTACTATTTCGATATTAAAATTAGATTATATACCAGAAGTCTAGTTTTTCACTTGTACTATTTGAATATTAAAATTAGATTTTAATTTTCTAAACGTAATACATTTTAATTCTACATTTTTAAAAGTGATGTTTCTCGAGAAAACCTTTTAGAAAATTGGTATTTTTAATTTAGGGAATGGATTCAAACTTTACATCTTATGGTGGGATTAAGTATGAAATTATCGTTAAATTATGTTTACAACCATAAAAAAATTAATATTCGATTGAAGCTTAATTTACATATAAAAGTGTTTTAAATGAATAACTAGACGTTAAAGTGACAATCTCCTTAATTTACACTAATTAAAAGGGCATAAGAATTTAAGTTGTGTCTTGCATCAACATAAAAGAAAGCATAAATTTTTTAATTAAGAAATAAAGTTTAAAAAATAAGTTAAGAAGAGTAGTTGACATCAAAATCAAGATAATTGACATATTTTTTACAACAATTTTGTTAATTTTATAATTAGGCTACTCCTTCACATAAGAAAACCAGGCCAAGGGCACAGCAGCTTGTTAATTAACAAAAAGAACAACGATCTAAAGTGCTAATTGCACGTATCACTTGTCTTAACTCAATGCCTCTATTATTTCACGTAAAGCACATAAATTAGTCAACATCGAACTTTCAAAGCTTCGCTACCAACGAAAAGTCAACATCAATTGGGGTTTCACCGTTCATTCAGGAGAAAAAACAACAAAATAATACATTGCAAGGAAATATGATTGCATTAATGGACTGTAACTTTTCTTTTACCTCTTTACTCTTTATAGGGCAGGACCTGATATCAGTAATGTGCGTTTTGGTCGCTGAATTTAATGGAAATCACGTCAAAATTATAAAGTATACAGAATAAACAGTTTCTGATATAAATTATATGGTTAAAAAATAAATACTTATTAAGGATTCTTTTACTTTATGTGTTTAAATTAATGTTTTTAATTCTGTTACAATTTTTTTCTCTCCGTCAAAATTAAGAATCACTGCGTTTAAATTAATGTTTTTAATTTTGTTATAATTTTTTTTTCTCTGTCAAAATTAAGAATTATTGTTGTAAATGCACCAATCAAACGGGCCCTAATAGTTTATTTTTTAGTCCTTATTATAAAACTCTTCTTGTTTATACTTGTGTTCATTTACCACTATAAAAGCTGCTTGTCGTCAGTGGTGCCCCTATTACTAAGACATAAGAAATATTTTTGTTTATGTCGTAGGAATTAAACTTAAAGAAGAAAAAACCAAAACGAACAGCTTGTAGGAATGGATTGCTACGTCCTAAATGTGATGTCCACATCTACAAAAGTTTCCAACTCAAAAGAGAAAACGTGGATTGCCAGTTGTTAATAAGTAAAAGGAAAGCGAGTGGTAGCTAGAATAGACCAAACTAGGAATAATGAACGGCTGAGAAGGTAAACAGGGTTGAGCGTGATTGTAAATATGCCGACACGGTGAGGTCTTGAAACAAGACAATAATAGCTTTTGTTGGAATGCCAAGTATAATGGTGATAATGGTGATAATGGTGATGTCTTCATAGTTCATCTTCCTTCAATAATCAACTTTACAGTTACTTAAAAGGTAAAAAATAAAATAAAAAATAAAAAATAAACTTGTGCAGTTATTTTTCCTATAAAAATAGATGCACAATTATTTTTCTATATAAGAAAAAACATATCATATGATTTGTTCATAACAAAAGAGCACGAGTTCTCAGATCTTAGTAAAACTCTTGTGGCATGCATGGTCACATTTGCTAGCACCTCCTAAGTTATCATTCACCAGTAGAAACACGGTTGCGACTTGCGAGCTTACTTTTCATGCTAATCATGAGGTAATTATTTGTAAAGATTAAAAACAAATTTGGATCCCACATCCTTTAAATTCAAAAATAAACGCGTACTAATTCATAAAGACATTGATCTATCTCACTTAACATGTTAATCTTTTAAAATGAGAGTTTAGACTCTTAAAAGATCTAAATTCTACCACTATTTAGTCACTTTATTTAACCGAATTGAATAGTTCCTTCCCTCCCTTATTTCGTTCGGTGTAAACATAAAAGTTATAACTCAGTTTGAAGTTGCTTTACATGTGTTATTTCTATTTGACTGCAAATTTCCAAAATGAATAATCGCACAGAATGATATCTACTATTTTGTATTTCGATTTTATATAAATATATATGTAGTTAATTTTGGAACACTAAAACTTTCCAACTTCCAATATATGTTAAGTTTGATGTGAATTTAATATACTAGAATTACAATCTTAAGCATACAAAATAGTCTTTTGATAATTCCACATGCTAGGTATACCTACATACAAGGTATAATCTAATACATTCAGAAAAAAAGGCATAATATAATAAATAACTCTTACACAAATTGTAGTAAATAAAATAGTTATTAAATTAAATTAAATAAATAACATATTTTACAAATATTTAAAGTAAATAGCAGTTTATTGTGTAAATTTTTCATTTACGAGTGTAAAAAATAATTTGCATGATAAAAAAAATTTTATTTACGTGAAAAAAATCTTTTACCAATCAGTAAAAAAAAATTTACGTTGAAAAGAATCTTTTTACTAATCATAAAAATCACATTTACACTATAAACTACTATTTATTTAAAATAATTTTAAAATCTGTTATTAACTCAATTAAAAATCTTTTACCAATTAGTAAAAAGAAAAAAATGTAGAAAAAAGTATCTGTTTACTAATCGTAAAAAAATATTTACACAATAAATTACTATTTATTTTAAATAATTTTAAAATCTGCTATCTATTTCAATTATTTATTATAAATATGCTATTAACTTCCTTTTACCCAACTCTTATAACTGTTTCAAAATGTATTTTTTGTGTTTATTAAAAATGCACGAATGACCGTCCGTATGTTTTTTAGAAACGATAAAAATACTCCTTAATAAACACGATCCTAAAGCAACCGGCCTCAAGTCGAGCTCCCTTTGTTCACTTCAAACCGGGCTTATAGGCTTTATTTTTTCCAAAAAAGTTCATTTAATACCCTACATTTTTTTCGTAATTATCAGAGAGGTGTCATACTATCATATGTTTTTAATTATATTAAGAGACTTTTTTCAATAGATTTCTCTATTAGTAGTATTAATTTTTTATTATTGTATTTAGTTAAAATCACGTTAAATTAAAAAAAATATGTAGAACAGATAATTTTTTATACGAATCTAATAATTGAAAAAGTAAAAAATTATTAGAAGTTTATTTTTTAATCCTAACAGAAAAACTCTCTTATATACTAGTACCTTGATGTTCTAAAGATAGCATTTTGATACTTTAAAGTCATTTTTTCATATATAAAATGTCTTTTTTACCTTTAATTAATTAATTAGAAAAACAATTTTAAAAATGTATAAAATAATATGCTCGAAACACTTATTTTATATATATATATATATATT